ATATATATATATATATATATATATATATATATATATATAATAGAGTTGAAGAATATATAATATATATATATATCTATGGTTTCACCGATCAGGTGCCTCAACGTGGCTGACAGAAGCAATTGGACGATTCAATCGATTTGTATTCTTTAAAAATCAACATACCTGTCGCTATCTCTAGTGAGGTCAACAATTTCATATATCTGTAACATAAAGGATCAAAAAAGTATCATATCAAGCACACTTCACGACATGCATTCGCCATTCGGAAATCACATATCTGATGAATTTTCAATTTATTCATAAATATAAAGTCTTAACATGCATAAAAATAGGGAATACTTACTTTCAACTGTTTGCTGTCCATTTCTTAAACAATAAAAATGCAATAAATATTAATACGAAGTCGGATTGACAGGATTGAAATCAGAAAAGCACTCACCCGTTTCGAAAGAACTTGTCGCCATCATGCCACATGCACAGAGATCGTGCTGAAAAGTCGAGATCAGTCACTGATCTCATTCATCGTCTGGATATACATAGCAAATTGCGAACCTGCAACCCGCAACCTGCAAAATTAACCAGCCGTGAAAAAACAACAGCAAAAAGCAATGTCTAATTGCAATGTCTATTGCAAGTCTGAAAGCGTGAAACTGAACAGTTCACCACAAAGCTTGCAAATACTAACATGTAACATACATATTATTGCACTTACCTGCGCGAGCAAGGATTAATGTTGCTTCCTTTTTCAAGTTCGAGTTGTAAGTATTCAATCTTTTTAGATGACCTTTGATATCCTTAGTACACTTTAACAGAATTATACTCTCACTGGCTTGTTTTTTATACTTGCTAGAGCCGCAAGGACTACTAACTAAAGATTTGAATCCACAAGAAGTCATCTTCTCATTGCAACTGCAGTATGCAGTAAGGGGTCTAATTTGAAGAAGATTGGGTTGCTGTGCATAACACAATATATTTAATATACTTCACCTGTTTGTTTACAAAGTAAATACTGTTGACCAAAGTTAGTGGGAAATATGCATATAAAACAGCTTAATACAGTGATTTGTCTGCAGTATCTGGCCTGGTTCGCACAATAAAGCACAATAAAGCACAAGTACTAAAGGTAAATTGTTACAATTAATTGCAATTTTAGTGAGGAGAACTGTTTACAATGTGATAGCTGATTTAATATCAAAGTCGGCAAGTTGTAATGTGGTGACTAAATACTGAAAGAATCATGCTATTAAGCGATGTTTTTTTCCTCTCAAGAGTGTGTGAAACTTTTACTATTCTATTATTTAGTTTATTACGATTCATATATTTAAAATAGGGAGCATTTTGTGACGATTCCAATGTGTGGTTGATTTTTATCCTGTCAACATGTGAGTTCGTCGGCCATTACGCAACACAACCTTTTTGACCCTTCAAGTGGATTTTACGAGGGCTCTCAAATCGCATCTTTTCAGTAGCCCAAACATTTTATTGCGGTTTTCGGAAGTTGGGACATTGTAGATGCTTTAGATTATAGTCGTTTTTATCCGGATCCATGTAGCAAAATGCGAATTTTGACGTTAAAGTAAAGCCTATTTTTTGCATGTGAAAAATTGTCCAAGTTTAAAATTCTGTAAAATATTCATACTCACCCCAAATTCAAAACTTTAACACTAGAAGTGCAGCAAAATTATCCTTCTTTTCTTAGATGTAAATAGCTTTTGCATGAAATAAAACGAGAATGTTTTAGGAATTTTTTTCTGATGTGTGTTGAAACGGCCTCAAATATGTGATTGTTGAGCGTATAAACACAAAATTGCATTTTCTTCTTGAAATAAAAATCTAATGGACTTTTTAGTATTTTTCCCATTTAAAGCTCACATAAGGCTACGTTTGGGAATTTTTTGAGAATTTTTTATATTTTTTATTTTGCACGCCTATGGTTGGTTTTTACAGAAGGTCGCTCTTAAGAAGTTCCAACTAGTCCAGAATTTTGCCACCCATATTGTCACTAATACTAGAAAATATAACCACATAACACCAGCTTTGCAGAGCTTGAAGTGGACACCCATCAAAACTAACTTGTATTTTAGAGATGCTGTAATGGCATTTAAATATATGATGGGTATGGTTCCAGAATACCTAAGCAACAAATTTAGCACCAGGGGCAGCGTAAGTGGACGAAAAACAAGCAATTCCGAGCAATTACATACTCCATTGTGTAAGACTAAAGCAGGACAAAGATCATTCTCTTATAGAATTGTCAACATATGGAATAACTTGCCATTGTTTGTGAAGACAAGTGAATGTCTAAGAACTTTTGAAAGTAAATTAAAGAAAGCATCTTCTAAACGAATATTTGTCAACTATTTAACACTACCAGTTCTTGCATGTTTTAATTAGGAATATATAGTTTCTATTTAATTTTTGTAAAATTGTCACTGAAAAGCCCCTCTCGGGGAGTTGTCAATAAAGTATTGTATTGTATTGTATTGTATTGTATTGTATATCTAAAATAATCTGGCTTTAGATAGAGTAAAATTATATGGCATTAGACAAGCAGTGCTCAATATAACGGCCGATAGGTCTCCGGTCAAAATGACCGGTCAACTTGATTTTAGCTCGGTCAAAATCTGTTTTTGACCAGTCACTAATACTCATGCACTAACAGTGAAAAAAAGTTATAAGAAATTTGTCTCGAGACAACTTTTATTGCTTTGTCATGTTTTAAACGCTTAAGACGTTAGCAATCACTATATATAAAGGTGAACAGGTAACGTTATCGTCCTTACCAGGGTTGTTTGCCGATCTGATTGGCGAGGTTTTGGTTTTGCCGCTGAAAATCCTGAGAGCTTTTGTGTAGTGCGACTACTTTCGCAGCTACCTTCGTTACATTTTCCAACAAGAAAATTTTCTTCGCTGTAACCTGGTGTTTTATCTGAGCAAGCCACAGAGCATACGTTGCAAATTGGAGTCTTGCAAAAAATGAGAGGTATTTGATGTTTTTCCGTCCACACTTCGTACAATCCTTGATCGCCCAAATCCAGACGATAAGAGAAGCATTGGTCAAGTGGTGCTACCCAAAAAAAACAAACGCTGATTCGTTAGGCGACGAAGAGTCTGGAATTTTTACTTGAAGCCAATCACTTTTGAGAAAAATCTGAGTATTAAAACAACCTAATTAGAACAATTAGAACAAAATCGAAACCTTTCAAGTTCAGCATATACTATGTTTTTGCCGTACGTAACTCGACGTACTTACGGTGAAGTTGTGTACTCGCGATGAAATATACAGTTTTTCTCTGACAATATTTCAGTAGACATCATATGCTGAGGAGAAAAAAATATTTAAAATTCTAGGGAAAGGTATGAAAATGTGGCCGGTCAAAATGACCAGTGAGGTAAAAAAGTTTACGGTCAAGAGGTAATTTTGGCCGGTCATTGTCCGTTGACCGGCCATTATATTTTGCCCTGACAAGAGTAAAATAATAAAATAGGCCACATCTGGGTGCATTGCCACATAAAGGGTTAAACTGGCTTTGAACTAACTAAACTTTGAAAAAAACTGTGTGTTCAAACAACATTTAAACAAACTTATAGGTGCCAGTTTAAGTTGTGTGTTACACATTGTAACATGTGCATTATTTTCAATTAAAATGCTTATGTCACAACATTTTTGCAAAAATAGCTGTGGCCAGGAAAGGCTCTAAAAAGGCCTGGGATGACAGGTGTGTGACATAGCTTAAGGACAGGAAGTTGGAGTTTTCATCTTTTAGTATAAGGCAAGTCTATTACAAAGAGAGCAAAATGCAAGATAGATGTGCAGTTTTTGGTTGTTCAAACTTAGCCAACTCTGAGAAAGGAATTTCCCTTCATCGCATACGATTCTGGAATGATGATCATCCAGAAGTAAAGTGAAGAAGAAAGATTTGGATGAACTTTGTCACAACAAAGCATGCAAACTGGTCTGCAAGAAAATACTCTGCGGTATGTTCAGAGCATTTTACTGAAATTGACTATGAAAGATACCTCGTCGAGATACCTGGGAAAAGGGAATATACTTCAAGATTAAAGAAGGATGATATAGGTATAACTGCCTATCCTAGTGTGTTCAAGAAGTTGAGCAATTTCATGAACGAGATATCTCCTCGTGAGAAACGAAAAGTATGTTTATGTATTTATATATTTATGTATTTATATGTTTGATGTTTACAATCATTTGTGATTGTGGTATAGCTTGTTTAGTTTTTCTCTGTATATTTGACTTGCATCTCTTTTATTGTTAAGGCTAAGAAAGACATCTGAAGGATATTACATAAGACATATTCGTCGTCTGTAGCTGAAGAGCTTGAGGACAATATGCAAGAAGAGGAGACATGTGATTCTTTTGAGACATGTAAGACAAGTGGGGCAAACAACATTCATGTCGAAGAATTCAAGGATTCTCTTTTGTTCGAACAAGTAAGGGTTTCTGTAAACTATTTATAAATACTATTATATCACACTTGTGTCGGTTTTCTTTGATCGTCCGAGGTTTATAACTAGGTTATAGACCTTGACTAAATTATTGAATTAAACTTGTAGACAAAACGTGAGAAATTTTCATTAAAAATTTTTGAAAATGACAAAATATGTTAGAAAAGTGTGATATAAGTTAGTTATAAACCTCCTACTCGGTTTATAACTCTAACTTAAACAGTACTAGTGTGGATGTTAGGTTTTTGTTTGTCAATCTATACTGTATGAATATATTTATATTATAATTTTAGTAGTTTGTCAACAGCAAAACCCATACAGAAGCCCAGGAATGTGAAGAATGCAAAGGTCTTTTGGCTAAAAGCAAACACTATCAGAGTGCCTGGTTGACAGCAAAGTTTAAATTAAAGGATCTAAAAAATGAACAAAAAACTATTAATCAAGGTACTGTGAAATATTTCTAAAACTGATAATCACCTAAAGCAGACATTATGTTTTTGACAAATATATTTTCCCCCAAATCATGGTGATTGGATATAAAATGCCATTATTACATGTAGCGAAACAAAATATTTTGACACTGGCTATATAGTAGGTAAGTTTCAAGGCAAGTATAAGGTAAGTTTCAAGGTAGTGACAGTGCTTGTATGGTCAACTGTATTAGTAAAATGTGTCCTAATGTGTTTCCAAGTGCTAATGAGAAATGCAGAAATTTTGCTGGCTAAAATTTCAATATTCTTTTTATTCAATCCATTTCAGACAATAGCAACGAGAAGCATGCAGGACCATTAGATGAAGAACTGTCAGTGGAAAAGTTTAATAGACAAAATGCCAAATATTTCTCATTCAGATGACGATGGTGAATATATCATTGAAGAGGAAGATACGAGTCAGTCAGATGATAGTGGTGAAGATGATGAAGAGCAATATCCTGTGCCAAGGTATTGTGTACAGACTTGGTTGTGATCAATTAATTTCGAAATGGGTTCGGTCATGCTTCGAATTGCTCTTAAGTTGCTCATAATTTTATGGTTAAAGAAGCCTGGTTTTACTACAGCAAGCTCCGTTTGTTACGTCTTTCATGGTGAGGAAGCAATTGATCCTAACCAGACGTTGGTCTATCAATCGCTATGGTGTTATCAGCAAATATACGACGCACAAGTCGGCAGGAAAGTAGATTTACAGTTATTGTTAATACTTAGTGGCGATGTTGAACTGTGCCCTGGCCCAGAATGCGGGGATTGCCTAAATATCAACCCAAGAATGTTTGATCAAACAGAGGGGTTTGAAGTGTTTTCATTTAAATGTACGGGGTCTGTGGAGCAATTTATGTCATGTTACTGAGCTTTTAACTGCACACACGGATATTGGTATTTTCACGCTCAGTGAAACACATATACAAGACGAACCCGATGAACTATACGTTAAACGGCTATTCATTTATTAGTCTTCCACGTTCTAATGGTTTAGGAGGAGGTGTTGCGGTGTATATTTCTGAGCAAATAAACTGGACGAGGAGATATGACTTGGAATCTGAACTCGAATGTATTTGGTTAGAGATTTTCCCATACAAAACAAAAAGCTTCTTAATCTGTTCTATGTACCGACCTCCAGACACTTCCTCCTATACTCATGCAAATTTCAAGAACCTATTTGCAGGTATGTTGGATTTGGCAACCGCAAACTTGAAAGTAGTAATCGTCATGGGGGATTTGAATGTCAATTATCATAGAAATGAGGATAATACTGAGATAAAATCCATTATTTCGGTAAATGGCTTTAAACAAATAGTAAAAGAAGCAACTCGTACTACGGAAAATACCGCCACATTAATTGACATTATCATAACTAATAACCCATCAGTTATTGCGTGTACAAAAGTTGTTCCGATAGCCTTCAGTGACCATGACTTGATTGGCTGTGTAAGAAAACAACATCATTTAAAATATGTACCGAAAGTTATTAATTGCCGAAATACGAAGAACTATAGCAAGGAACTGATGTGTGACGAATTATTTAAACAAGATTGGACTCCTGTTTATGAGTCAACTGATGTTAATTACGCCTGGACATGCATGAAAGATATTATTTCATCGTGTTTTGACAAGCTAGCATCTATCATAAAGAAACGTATCCGTGGAAAACCATCTCCGTGGTTAACTGATGAGATAAAAAAGGCAATGAACACTCGTGACATATTATTACGTAAGTCAAGGAAAACAAAGTTTGAATCTGATATAATTGCATATAGGAAAAAGCGTAATGAGGTGAACTCGTTATTGAATAAAGCAAAGCAGGCTTATTATAAGGATTTGCTGAATGAAACGTCAAACAACTTGGACAGTTTTTGGAGTGTCATTAAGAAGCTATACCCAAACAATCCTAGCAAATCTTCTCCGCCAATGTTTAAA